GTTTGTAGGTGACCAAATACTTATTTTCCACCATTATTTGCAAAAAAAAAAAACCTTTAAAAGTCAGACAAAATGATTTTCTCAAATTGTTTCTCACATTTTGTCTCTCATAGTTGAGGTCTACCTATGATGTCAATTACAGGCCTCTCTCATCTTTTTAAGTGGGAGAACTTGCACAATTGGTGACTGACTAAATACTTATTTTCCCCACTGTATCGCGATATGTTGTAAGCGAGGCAATGTGTTGTTTTTCTCTAAAAGATTATAAAAACACTCAATCTAAAGAGCACACTACAATTATAAAATCTGATTAAATTCAGTTTAGTTTTATGAAATCAGAAGAACACTGAACTCTTCTTACATCCATCCATTAAGCCTTAATTTTAAAAAATCAACAAAGTGCTTTCAGAACYGATACATTATCAGGAAATGAAACATCACAATATTTCGGTGTATCAATATTTTTATACACCCCTAATGTCCATTATATCTCAAAGATATTCAGAGTTTTAGATTAATCTGTAAGAAAAACTGATTTCTCATGAACCTCTCTTTATTCATGATGACTGAAGGAAGCCCAGATTACAACAAAGCCTGTGAAGGCTTGAAAGATAAACATGATGCGTGCGATTGCTTCATGACTTCAGCTAAACATCTGCAAACTATTAGATTTAAGATGTTAATGCTTTTCCTCTCCAGGATTCAGGTTAACCATTATTCGTGCAGGTGTCAGACCAATTAAACCTGTTCAATTTGCTTGATTCAGATTTATAATTTGATCTGTTACACCTGGTTTTTCAAGTCTACCGTCAGCAGGATTGTTTTAAGGATTTAGAAGCTCTCTATGACATCAGTTTGAGGTTAAGTGACCTGTTTCCCGAAGAAAACCAATAATAACTGCAGTACTTTCCCGTACGGGGCCTTTACTTGTTTGCTCAGTGAAACTAAACAGATGCAGAAATCAAACTGTAAAATAAAAAATAATGAAACATGAAAACCAGACTCCTAACAGATTTTTCATGACCTCGCAGTTTCAGCATGACTACTGATCTGGCACAATCCAGTGGAATTTAAATGACTGCCATGCTCCTCACCTCTTCATCTCCTTTGTATGTCTTCCTCATGTCACTCAGGTCCATTCTGCTGCTTTCACTTGCCTTTTCACAGCAGAACTTCAGCCCCAAAACGCTTCGTTTCCCAACTGTCAGAGAGCTACGAGAGGGGAGATTTCTGCCCAACAAGCTGCAATGTCTTAATAAATTTGCTCTGAGTATGCGCCTCATGCTGCTTGTCAAATCGACTCTGACGTAAGCGCCGTTACGTAAAAATGCAAAACAAGAACCTTTCGCTTTTTTATTATTGAAAACCCTTTCAACAAAAATGTTTTCACTACAACCACGCTTAAAATGTATGTATTTGTATTTGTACGAGAAGTTTGCGATTTATTTTGAACGCGACAAATGTTACCACTAAAAAAGTACGTCAGTACGTTTTGAGGCGTTCAAGTAAAATCAATTTTATAAATTGACGTGTATTTTTAAACGATGAGCGCCACTTTGTAACCAGTACTGATTCGAATGATGCGTTTTTTAAAACTTGTACTAACGTGAATCAAACAATACATTAATATCAGGGCAGCGTTTTACATTTTGTCTGGTGTAATTTTCTGTTTTTATATGTACGCGAACGCAGCATCWGTTCCACCGTCACTTTCTGATGACGTTTGTCTATGAAAAGATGGCGGCGACCTTGTGTGTGAAGTTTTTACCTAAACATGGTAAATAACATACAAATATATACAATTTTACTTAATTTTTCATTAAAATACGTATTTTTAGTGTGTTTGTTGATTTGTAGAAGTAGTTAGCGTTAGCATCCTTAGCGCCGTATCGATAAAAAAAACCCTAAAATCTAAAACGTAGTGCGGGTAGCCGCTATGGGTTAGCTTAGCTTAGCCTAGCCTAGCAGCCGGTGATTCCAGCAGACATTACAGATATTTTTGTCTTTTTTTAGGATGGCTGCCATTGATTCAGAGTGTTCGACACAGCCCCAAGGCTGTGACCCGCCACGAGAGACCCATTCCCTTCTTCAAGAAGAAGGTCCTGGCTGTCACAGAATACATACCTCCTCCTCGGGGATTTCCACCAGGAGCCTATCCGCCAGTCAAAAAACAAGATCAAGATTCGATGATAGTAAGACAACTCTGTTTTTTTACTGCAACAACTCCGTGTCTGCTTGTACGGGTATTTGGATGTATGTGCTTTAGTTTTTCAGTCATACAGTGCACTGAAATAGTTATTTTTGTGATGACTTTTATAAACTTGACTATTTTATAACATAACATGAACTGAACCGAGTCAGTCAGACAGCTTGTTACAAGTTTGAATCATTTCTGTAACGTAGGTTTGTTGTCTTTTGTTCATCAGTTAGATGGTTTGGATAAACTTCACAAGCAGCGATTGGAGAGAGTGCTTGAGAACTGCAGAATGATCGCTGTGGTTCAGAACAACAGATGCAGCGCTCACGACCTGACGCTTATCAAGTACAAGCTTTTTCGACACGGCATCATTGTCAAGTTCTTCTCCAACAGGGTACGAATAATATGGGCATAAATATCTTCCTGGAAGCTTCCGTTATAATTTAAATGTGCAGGAGAAAAGATGCTCCTGCTTCATGTCGCTGCACCAGTGGCATCATTTTTTTTCTGGATCAACTTTTACTGAGCAACTCACTAATTTAATGGAGTTGTCTACAAATAAATGGTCTTTTTTAGCATCGTGTTCATCTGTGTAAATGTTGTTTTTTTCTCCAGGTGCTTTTTTCGGTCCTGGGTGATTCTCCCTACAGGAACCTGCTTCCTCTGTTCATGGGTTTGACTGCTCTGCTTGTCAGTAAAGAACCAAAGGTGAAGGAGATGCTGTCCACCCTGAAGTCCAGCCCACAATTTACGCTTTTGGGTGAGTTTGGCTTCTAAACATTCATCCTAAAACAATCACATTTTGTTTGATTTTTATTGAACCAATAGGCTGTTTGTTATGAATTCCATATAAAATGGGAAAATATTTTATTTGCATATGAATAATTTGACATAATGCATCTGAAAACTGTTCAATTTTAGATTTTTTTTAATGAGTTAATTTTAATAACTCATTCAGAATTTAAAATCTTGCAGCCTTGATGCTTAATGTTGCTCGTCTCTCCACAGGCGCCTACGTAGACGACACGCTGCTGAGCGTGCAGGGCCTCGTCAGGTATTCCAAACTGCCGTCCGTGACCATGGTCCAGGGCGAGCTGGTCAGCGGGCTGACGATGCTGACCTCCTGCACAGCCTCCATGCTGCATCGGCACCCGGCCCACCTCTCCGCCCTGCTTCAGCAGTACATCAAACAGCAGAGCCCCGACAGCGACGCGGAGCCGGCTGCTAAATCAGAGGAGGCCACGTAGAGACAGAACAAACAGGGACTGTCGCAGGTTTATAGCTGAGCAGTCTGGCTGCATGCACTMTTTAACCTGTCTTTAAAATCTGCACCAGACTGGGAAATGTTTAAACTCAATTCTGAATCCCAGCTGAGAGTTGGAGCCAACGTGAACGGTGTCATTACTTGAGCAACTAAGCTGCAGAAATGATGGTTTCACCCTTTATTATTTAAGGACAATAAAAGATAACGTGTCTGCTCAGGCTCTTGTCTTTTCACATTTATTCCTAAAAACATGCTGAGGAACAAAATGCTTTACAAGAAAATAAAAGTGCAGTACTAATGCAAAATAAATCCAAAAATGAAATAAACGCTAGAAGGAAAATTAAATATGGAAAAACTCTCAATTAGCATCATGAAGTTCAGCTTCAGTCAAAAAGAAAGCTGAACATTTTGATGGTTAATCTGCAGATTACCTCACTACTCTGGGTCAAATTTAACAGTAAAGTGCATCATTAAATAGGTTTTAATGGGAATTTCAGAAAATAACTTAAATGTCTACAGCTGATTATGTTTTGGAGTCAGAACAATTCAATCTGGCCACCTCAGTCAAACACAAACATGGCTTTAATTCAGTGACATCTACAGACTTCAGTTTAAAACGGGGAACTGATCAGACTGAGAGGAGCTCCATTTCCTGCCCTCTGCCTCTGAGACAGGCGCTGTAAGTCCTCTTAATGCGGATAATGCGCAGGACGCTTTGAGCGCGGTGCACGCAGCCGGCGGGGACGCGCAGCTCTCTTTGGATTTGGACAGAACCTGCTGGGCAGAGAGGCCACGGCCCGTTCAGTTTATGTGTTCAGAACGAGGAGAAAGCAGCTTTATTTGAAGATTTTTTTTAAAGAAAAGTTTTTCCTCCCATGAAGTGATGATGTCTCGCACCCAGATTAGATTTTTATTGGATTAATCAGGAYGGCAGTGGATGATGAGAGGCAGAGGGGAAGTTCAGGTAAATTATTTTTATGAAGATGTGAAATATAAACTTTTTGTATGTAGGTAGATGTTTCTGTGTGAATGTAAAGTATTTCAACCAAATTAGTAAAACCCTAAAGTTAGTCAGATTTGTTTAAAACTATCTATTCTCTGCAGCCTCTGAAAAGTTTTATGAACATAAAAATTTAACCATGATCACTTTAGATTCGCATTAACGCTAAAATATGTCAGTGCTATGAAGACAATCATCTCATGAAAAAATAAATAAATCAAATGTGATGTCCAAGTTTTACAGGTAAACATGGAACTAAATCAACTGAATATAAACTTTACATTTAGTTCTGCAGGTTGATCAGGTTAAATAGTTTCAGTCACTCAGGTCTGATTCTTGTGCTTCAGTCTTTATTTATTCCCAATGAGAGATTATATCCGTCATAATCTGAGTATCTTAATCCCAGCCTTTGGCAGGAGGCCGCCTCCACCTTATCTGACTTCTTGGCCACCAGTTCCCCTCTTCAGAAAACTCAGTTTATCTTTCTGTTGACTCAAGATGAGTGAATAGTGCTTAGTCGGCATTCACACTGTTGTTTCTGTGTGACTTTACTACGTGACCACTTCTGCAGACTTTTTATTTTATCTTTTAGCTGCTTGGATTCATTAAGCTTTTAAGTAGCCTTTTGATGCTTTTTTCTTTTAGCTTTCATTCTGCTCATTTTAGCTTTTAGCTCATCTTTTGCTCTTATCTACTCTGTTGATACTTTTAGCCTTAGCCTTTTCTGACTTTTAACTTTTAGCTAGCCTTTTTATATTTTTAGGTAACATTTTGCCAATTTAGCTGGTTTTAGCTTCCATACTGCTAGTTTTAGCTTTTAGCTCATCTTTTGCTCTTATCTATCTAACTCTGTTGATACTTTTAGCTTTTTAGTAGTCTTTTACTACCTTTAACTTTTAGCCTTTTGATACTTTAGGTAGAGTATTGCCAATTTTAGCTTATAGCTTGTGTTTGGCTTCAATTTGGTATTAGGTAGCCTTTTGCTGCTTTTAGCAAATTTTATCTAGTTATGTGATTTTTTTTTTTGCATTTTCTCTTTTAGCTTTTTAATAGCCTTTTCCTACCTTAAGTTAGTTAGCTAGTGTTTGACCATTAGGATTTTAGATGTAGTGTTTTTTTTAATTTTTTGCTACTTCTGACTTTTAGCTAGTTTTTTGCTACCTAATACTAAGAAGAAGAAAAAAACCTATAAAATCTCCTAAAGCTAAAAAGTAAAGATTTAAAGTTATGGATTAAATCTAAATCTAAGCAAAACAATCTAAAACAAAATTAAATGCGATCCCCCCACTGCATTTTTAGATAGTACACAAATGAATATTGGTTTTGTTAACATTAATAATAATATTCTTTTATTCTTATCTTCTTTTAACTTTTAAAACTTTCTGTGACTTTATTGTGTCAGATTTTCTTGTTTTGTTTGATAATATTGTGTCAGAGCTCTGCACTGAGATCAAGTTCCTCTTCGTTCAAGTTGCTTCAAGCATCTAAAAATATCTCCTGAAAAACCAATTAAAGAGATTTACTCTTCCTCCAGCAGGGAGTCTAGGCCATAGTGTCGTACAAAACATTGGATTAGCAATAAAACTCAGTTTGTTTTTAAGGTTTAATTTGTTCCTTTTAAAAATATAATTATAGATGTTTTGTCAGATTTTAGGTTGAGGCTGTTATTCTTATTGTCTGTCAACATAAAACACAGGTGATCATGTAAATGCACGTGTGTGTTGCTCTGTCTGTAAGCAAAATATATCATGAACCACTGAACAGATTTGGATATAAGTTGCAGAAAACATGAACATTTGTTTTGGAATCAGTCTGAGTAAAGAAGGCTGGCCACTGGTATTTGATCTTAGCCATCACAAAAGTGGCAACATCCCAGCAAAAGGGTAGCTAAAGGCTAAATGTAGCACGATCTAAATAAAAGCTAAAGGTAGAAAAGGACTTCTCACAGCTTCAACTAAAACAAGATAAAAAAAAAATCTTAATAAAATTAAAGCTTTCAGCTGAAATTCTCCCTGATACCATTATAATACTTTACCCATCCTCTCTGTTTGCTGTCTCTGGAACCTGCAGTGGGCTGTGGACAGGCTGCAGATGGTGCTTTTAGTCAAACACCAGGAGAAGTTTGAGCTCTGAAATGGACTCAAATGGATCTTCAATCAATTGCAGCCAATCGCTGGCGAGCGGTCTGGAGAAGATGTCCCCGTCTAGAAACAAACCAGCTCTGTCTCACAGTAGTAGCACGCTGTCATCTCCTCACTCCCGACAGGTTGGTAACAGGTCAATAACAAGTCAGTAACAAGTCGGTAACAGGCCGGCAACATATCAATAAGAAGTTAGTAACAGGACAATAACAGGTTGGTAAAAGGACAGTAACAGGAGAGTAATAGCTCAGAGACAGGGCAGTAACAGGACAATAACAGGTTGGTAACAGGTAAATAACAGGACAATAGCAGGTTGGTAACAGGTAAATAACAGGACAATAACAGGTTGGTAACAGGTAAATAACAGGACAATAGCAGGTTGGTAACAGGTAAATAACAGGACAATAACAGATTGGTAACAGATAAATAACAGGACAATAGCAGGTTGGTAACAGGTAAATAACAGGACAATAACAGATTGGTAACAGATAAATAACAGGACAATAACAGGTCAGTAACAGGTAAATAAAAGGACAATAACAGGTTGGTAACAGGTAAATAACAGGACAATAACAGGTTGGTAACAGGTAAATAACAGGACAATAACAGGTCAGTAACAGGTAAATAACAGGACAATAACAGGTTGGTAACAGGTAAATAACAGGACAATAACAGGTCAGTAACAGGTAAATAA